GCCCCTGTCTCGCAGCGGCCTAGGGCAAACCTTTGGTGCCAGCCATGTCTCACTCTCGCTCCTTGTCTCTAGGAGACATACAGTAAGGTGCGGTGCGGTTAGCATCTACAGAATAGGCTACGGCTCCCCGGGCTCCTTGCACGGGTCTTTATCCCCACGATCCCGGAGGCCGTTTGCGGATAGTGGAACTGCTGGCCTGGACAGAGACTCATGGAGCCCGCTTCGACCGCAGGATTGGGTCTGCTGGAAATCTTTCATCCAAGGGGCACGGCAGTTGAAGACTCGTGGTCCTCGTGGCGACTTGCTGATCACTTGCTGATCGGCAAGAGCGTGTCTTTGCTCGGTCGTTAGGTCTCCTCCCCTCCTGGTCTCCTAGCACAATCACACGCGTGGTGCTTTCACCAACTTCCAAAGAAATTGGAAGACAACATAGCACACATGTCTAGTGGCGCCAGATGTCTCGTCCATCACCTCAATGAAGTTTCCGCATCTGCTCTTCGTGGCTTACACCAGCCAGGCTTACCCATCGAGTTGGAACCCATAGGTTTCCTCTGCTAGACCGCTTGAGTCCGACGCCTTTGCCGATTCTAGGCACTGCCCAACTTGTCGTGGAGGATGTAGGTCCGCAGCCTCGCTCCAGCCTGCTATGCTTTGGGATCATGATACACTCACCCTCCTTCTTGGGGTTCTCCTGTTGATCACAACTCAGGTGTGTCTGTCAATTCTTTAGCTCCTACAATGGGCAGAAGCGCCTCCCGCCCCATGGACTCTTCTTAGCCATCGGACCATCCTCTGGAGCCTCCAATTCCTTCTAGACAGCGATTCTCCGTGGCTTGAACCACGGCCGCTCTGCTCCCTAGACCGGATCGGGAAGAGAAGTCCAGGTTTCATGTCACCTCGGAGTGACATCGTGGGCTGAACGGTGAGATCCGTTGAAGCCTTGATTTCCTGTATAAAGACGATGAGAATTCCATCGACTGAATGGCTTTCTGTTTTGGATCATCACTCTCAACTCCAAACAGCCCTCTCTCAACTTCTCGACTCCTCAGCTTCAACAACCGAGACTCTCTCCACTTTGCAAAAGTCAAGATGAAGTTCTTCACCGGTCTCACTCTCCTGGCCTCCCTCGTGAGCGCCTCTCCCATCGAGCTCGCACAGAGGGACACTGCGACTCCGCTACAAGCCAACATCACCAAGAACGGCAACACAGCAGTCAAGATCGCCTTGAAGAACATTGGCAAGACCGATCTCAAGCTCTTCACTCCGGGTACCGTTTTGGACACGGCAGCCGTTGAGAAAGTCGCCGTCTTCAATGGAGGTGAGTAGTAGTACTCTCCCACAATTCAATATCAAAGTGCTGACTCAACCTACAAGACGACCGCCTCCCCTTCGATGGCGTCCGCCTGCGCATGGCACCTCAAAACCTCCTCACCGACGCCTCCTTCCGAACAATCAAGGCCGGCGAGACAATCGAATCGGCAGTCGACTTTGCCGAGCTGCACGACCTGGGTGAGGCCGACGCCTTCAAAGTGAGAGTCAACGGCGGCATCCCCTACGCCCAGGCCGGCTCGACCACCATTGCCGGCGTCTTCAGCATCGCCAGCAACACGCTCAACATCAACAACGTCAACGTCACAAAGGCCGCCATCGTCCGCACCTCGTACAAGCAGATGATCAAGCGCACCATTGTCCAGTCCGACTGCAAGGGCACCCAGAACACCACCGTCACCAACGCCCTCGCCAGCTGCTCCAAGCTCGCCCGCGCCGCCGCCGACTACGTCTCCAAGGACGACAAGCGCCTGAACGAGTACTTCAAGTCGACGACCGCCGCCAGCAAGAAGATTGTCGTCGACACCTTCAACAAGGTCGCTTCCGAATGCGGTAGCCGCAACACGGGCGTCTCCAAGCAGTACTGCAGCGACGTCTACAAGTCTTGCTCGCCTGGTGTCTTGGCTTACACCGTCCCGGCTTACAAGTACATGGTTAACTGCCCCTTGTACTTCACCGCGCTTCCTCTGCTCACCACTGGTTGCCACAACCAGGACCAGTCGACCACCACTCTTGTAAGTACAGCACTTTACTGAAGATCATCGAGTTTGAGCTAATCAGTTGGACTTTTTCAGCACGAGATGACCCACTTGCTCGAGGTCAAGGGAACACTGGATTATGGCATCTACGGCTACACTGCCTTGAAGACTCTCACGAGCGCTCAGAACCTCAACCACGCTGACACCTATGCGGTCTATGCCAATGGTAAGTCGATTCAACTCTCAAGACACAATAAGGAAAGCCATGGCTAACAATGAGATTTCCAGCTGTCAACCAGGGCAAGACTTGCTAGTCGCAATAAGGAGTTGAGAGTTTTCGTACATATCCACCACAAAGACTATCCAGTTCTTCTGTGCATATTCAACGGGACCGACTACGCTAGGAGTTTACACTGCTCCATGTATGGGCGCCGGTTCCTCTTAATGGTTAATTACTAGTATCACGGTTTGGGATCGCGAATTAGAGGGCATTTAGATCTGCCATTTTCAATCTTTTCCATAGAAACGAAATCACGATTCATTCAGCTTTAACAAGTGCCCGATTAAATGATTAATGATTCCAATGCGATAGGGATTATTGAAAGACTCTGTAACTATTCGCAGATGGCCTCAAATTGAAGCAGAAGAGCTAGGCAGGGCGTTTGTTTGCTCTAAAGCCTCCCAAGGCGACACAAGATAGTTTCGTTTTACGAAGCAATGCGGACCGAAAGGTCTGTGGCTCATTCTTTGCAGTACACACATAATAGACATTATCTTATCAGGGACTCTATACTAACCATAAACGAGGTTGATGAATCGTTTAAACAAGGTCTTTGGAGAAGAGTAGTAGGAATAGAGCTACACACAACAAGACCACCGATTAGTGCCTGTCTGGATTTCTCCGTCAGTTACGTTCCATGTAAACCGTTCCGTTGGGGAAGGAAACGAGCAGAGACAAGTCTTTGCCAGAGACATGTAAGCCGGTATATACTTAGGTGTTGCACCAAACATGACTGACCATGGTCTCACTTGGTAACTCGCTGTGTTGCATTCCAAAGTCCCAACGTTCAACCAACGACAAGTCTGACACACAGCCCTGGGCCCTCGTACCCGTTGGAACCGAGACCTTTAGCGACCCAGGGGGTGCCCATCCGATTTTGGGGGTTAGGGGCGGCACTTGGACACAGATAACACGTCCGACAGGGCAGAGACAGTGACGTGCAGAACGACCCGATCCTCGCCTGTTGGGAATGGAAGCTTTGGAAGCTCGTCCCTGTTTGTGAGCCGCAGTTTTTGCAAATTCCAACCGGGGGGCCGGCTCTACAGGATGCTCCGGGCGGCGGTCGGGTTGGGCATACGTGTAGTCCCCGGGCGCTAACGGCAAGGCGCAGTAGCACAGTAGATGCAAGCTTGACATTTGTTGTAAGATGTCTTCTTCTACGGAAGTACGGATACCTTAGAATGAGATGAAGTCCCGTTCTTAGCTCCTCAATTTTGAATATCAAAGGCGGGCCCGGCCTTGGGGGCCGAGAGGGGCGAAGCTCAATAATTCACTCGACAATTTCACATGGAATTGAATAATTGGAAACAAGCTCGGAGTCCGGGCTGGAAACTCGCAAAGACTCGAAATAACATCGTATCAATCCCGACCCGCTGGGACATTGGACCGGGGGTCGCCGGAGCCAGCCGTTGGCCTGAACCTGAGATCCAAATCACACAATATTGAGCCCCGCTGAGTGGGATCGTCGACCGTTTGTTCGCACTCGGGCCCATCAGCGGGTGCCGGCAATCGAACCTTCGAATGACTCCTCAATGCTCACAGTGTCGCACTTTGTACTCAGGAATCCGTAAGTGGATATTGCGAGATGCGTACGCATCGATCTATGGGCATTCGGGTGCCACTACTGTTTGCTCTGCTCGCCTTGGATGCGCAAAAGCCACAGACGCAAGATAGGTACGAGGTCTGCAGACTTAAGGCTGTCGTCGTGGGGGTCTTTTGATACGTGCTAGTCCTGCAGGACGAAAAGTATGCCGAGTCGTGGGCTGCATCTTGTCCGTGCATTATTACACGCGCGGGCGTCAGAGCCTCGAAAGGTGAAGGAGCAGAGGCAAGGTTTGCTGGAATGTTCCGTGAGCCTGTTTGGTCTTTTTGGTGCGTTTGGTACAATCCCTTTTATTAGGTATCATTGCGGCGGACCGAGGAACGGCGCAGGGCACCCGCGTAGAGTTTTGGGCCGTTCGGACTGGGAAAAGTGTAAAGCTTGCGAAGAAAGCACCGAAGCAAGGGATATGGGATGAGCTTGCGTTGCAGGTCGGCACGTTGCGAAGGGAGACGGTCGCAGTGGGAGGAAGGGCCAAGACGAAAGGGATGGCGGGATGTCTGGGATGTCGCGTCTTGTCACTTGTCAAGTTCCAGATGGAGGAAAGATTCCGTACGAAGGCGAAGGCTGAGGGGTTGATCAAATTTGGGAAGATTTCGTCGGCTGAAAGTGAGAGAGCATGACAGTTCTTGTCGCGATTTGAGCCCAAATACCAGCAGAAAAGATGGTTACAGATGTTCAAGCCATCAAGACTCGACAATCCATCCAGTCAGTCTCTGTATCCATACTGTATGCCGTGCAAAACACCTTGGGGGATAGCAACATGTTTGTTTGCGTGCGTTCTTGTCGTGATTTGGGAGGTGGGCTGTGGACAAGTATCAGGGGGTGGCGAGTTACGTAGTGGGGTGGTCTTCCATGTGCCGACAGGATATATCTTCTTGTGTGTCTTGCGAAAAAGGTACGAATGAATGCTGTAGCTCTGGGGCGATGCCGACACAGTGTGATAGGGCCGGTTCGGCTATTCTCCCGTGGCATGCCGCACCGAATTCTGGGTGTCCGTCGTCGTCGCTTGCTTCCCGCACCTCCATCCGCTCCTATTTTGCCAACCAGTGACGACAAAGCTGCAGGAACAGCCGGCGTCGAATGACGACGATCAGATAGCGGCGGTGCTAAAGAGAAGCATCCCTTGAGGACACTGTGTCTGACACACCTGATCTGCTGGATCAGCGATTCCGTCAATCAAGAATCCAAGATGGTCCTCCGCATCGACAGACTCGGCGAGTGATCCGTTGCTCGACGGGCTCGACGGGCTTGAGGGCGGCGTTGGATAGGTTCCGATTCGGCAGCCAACCATGGAAACGAATGGGGGAAACCCACCACTGACCTCAGACAGCCACGATCTCCCCAAGACACTGAAGACAGTGACGGGACCACCTGGCGCCGTGTACACTGGAGACCGGGCCTTTGAGTGTCTGTGCTGCGTGGTGCGTGTGTACTATGTATTCGTATGCAGCACAGTGGACAGCAGCAGGTTGGCCAGCAGCTAGCTCCCGGGAGCGGTGGAGAGTCGAGGTCGCAGTCCAGTCGGGTCTTGTGGATCGTCGTCTTCAAGAACGCAGGTCCAGCCACATTCGCAGGCTCGCAACCCGTCACAGAAGTTCCCCGGTGGTAAGGTACGGCGTAATGGTGGAGGACTCGATGGCGACGGGCATTTTTGCTTGGTGAGGAAGTGTGGAATGCCGGTACTGAGTATCCGTACGGAGTTCAGCAGTGCACTGTGCTGAGCTGACCTCATCCCTTTGCAGCGAGCGGGCGAAACCTTGTAACAGAAAGCCTGGCAACTGCAGGATTGCGACACCGGCCACTAGGCAACTCGGGTCAAGACCGGAAAGCCATGTCGATTCGGACTGGGCCGCGGCTAGGGGGGCTGGCACAAGGGTTCGGAACGCGGAGCCCTAACAAGGACCCTGAATTCTCTGTGTTGAATATCGGGAGGTTATGGTAGCATTGGTGGTATTGGTGATGGCTGAATCTAGGTATGTAGTCAAAGGCTCGAAGCTACACTGCGTGTCTGGTTAGTAGATGGGGCGGTAGCACAGAGACTAAGGTAAGGTATGGAGGTTTGTTGGACGAACCTGATCACCAAGCCGGTGTTCCGCTTTTCCACCGGTTGTTATGGAGTTTGGCAGATCATGCTGTTTGGGTTAGAAAACTTGGGAAATCCCCGCGATTTCAGTTTGCCACGGTTTGAGGCTTCCAAGGGGTGGTTCTGGTGTCGCGAGAGTCTACCACGAAGTATTCGTAGCGGGAGGAGGAGAAGTTAGGTGGATGTACGTACTCCGTACTCCGTCGAGGAATACAAGTGGTGGTGGTGGTGGTGGCAGGTGAAGGCAGTGGTGCAGTGGTACGCTCTTTCCCCTCCCTTTTGAAACTGGGGGAGAAGTTGCGAGCCCTGAGTGGCTGAGGTGAGGCGATGGGTGGGGCTCGCTTGACGGGAATGGCGGGGCTGGACAGTGCCAAAGCCCTTCAACGTGTCTAGCACAGTATACATGGCATCTCCGGTGGTTTGTCTGCCCAGTGCTGTGCGAGTAGCCCGTGGTGTTTCCTCTCTCTCATCTCCTGGCCTTGCACAAGCCTGCAAAGGCCCCAAGGCCCCCCTTTCGGTCAAAGGTGATCCCAGTCAGCCGGGCGCTGCCCTGGTCGTACGACGGACGCCCACAAACTGTTTCTGTACTGCACTGTGTGCTTGCAATACCCCCAAGAGCTTCCCTTGCCTTCCATCTAGAACCCGCCTGTCGCCAGTTCGACCGGGTCTTTCTGACTTCCCATTCATTGGCATGGGGCAAGGTACGGATTGCGGGCACTGGGCTGACTGACAGAGACCCCAACTTCCTCCCTCCTTCCTCGAGGAACCGACCTTCGAGACTCAAAGTGACTTCCATACTTGGCTTACCCCCGGTGCGTGTGCGTGTACCTTTGCTTCACCCCCCCCAAAAACCCAAAGCTGACAGGGTCAAAAAAAGAAGAGAAGGTGAGCAAGAGCATTCAAACCATCTGCTCCTGCTCCCTCTTCCCGAACGAACCACCACTTCTTCCCCCCATCTTCAACTCCATCTTCATCTTCATCTTCACTTCCGTCCAACGAATTCTCCCATTCATCAACAAACCTTTGGTTGATACCCCAGACGCATCCACCGCTGCATTCATCCCACTTGTTGTGTGTGTACCTACTCTTCCTCGTTGTGGGCTCCGATTTACTTCGCTAGCCCAACCCACATTCACATGGTCCTCTGCCGCCGTCGGACCATCGACACCACCATCTCGAACACGACCTCGCCGACGCCCTCAGCTGCTCCTATGTCTCGCCTGCTCTGTAAACAACACTGGGAAGCGTTGATGTAAATCCCTTCCGCATAAAACACACACAGATCATGCTGCGACGGCCTCCAGGCGACGGGAGGCGCGTTGCTCGTCAGCGAACCTACCTCCTTGCTCTCGCTGTACTCGCCATCTCATGCCTCCCACTCGCCGATGCTCAACAACAGCAAAAACCCATCGAGCCGGTAGCCCAGATACATAGAATCCATCAACACCAAACCCCTGCTGGAAGCAGTCAACACGAAGCTGTTCGTGATGCCCTCCCCGACGCTGCCGCCCGCAACTGGGCCGCTACCAACATCAAGGCCGACAATGCTGTCGAGTCTCCGAGGCGCCGAAACTCCGTAACCTCGAAGCAACCCCAACCTCAACCCAATAATAAACAACCACACGACCGTCGGTCCAACCCCGACAACATACTTATTCCTCACGATGCGAGCGCCATCGCAACTTTGGCTCCGGCTCAGTCCGTCCGAGCACCTCCTTCTGGACATCGACCCATTGCCTCCCGCGTTGGCGGTGGTGGGATCTCTACGCAGCACCATGCGCGGAGTCTGAAGGATTGGGAAGTAGAAGACTTCGTTCTTATGGCGACCGTCGATGGACACCTCTATGCCACTGATCGCAACCACGCCACCGAACGCTGGCATCTCGAGGTTGACCAGTCCATGGTTGAGACCAAACATTACCGTCTCAACGCCTCCGACCTGGACGACGACTACAACCACATCGATCACTACATCTGGGCCATCGAGCCCAATCGCGATGGAGACATTTACTACTGGTCTCCAGCTGGCTCCACCGAGCCCAGACTACTATCCACGGGCTTGACCATGAAACAGATGGTCGACGAGGGCGCCTCGGCCCTCGACAATCCGCCAATCGTCTATACTGGTACCAAGAAGACTACCATGATTACACTCGATGCCGCTACAGGTCGTGTGCTCAAGTGGTTTGGCTCTGGCGGCTCACACGTCAACGAAGCAGAGAGCTGCCTACGCCCGAATGCACTGTACGACCAGAATAACGAAGAGTGTAGCTCGACTGGTACGATCACGCTTGGTCGTACCGAGTACGAGGTTGGCATTGCCCGCAGAGACGGTCGCCCGATCGCTACACTGAAGTTCTTTGACTGGACTCCCAACACAAACGACTACGACCTGCTTAACCAACACCACCAGTCCATCGACCAGCGCTACCATACCACCACCCACGATGGCAAGATTTATGGTGTTGACTACGCCAATGCCCACAAGGACAAACTGCCCATTTTTTGCAACGCGCAGTTTACTTCGCCTGTAGTCAAGGTTTTCGACGTCTGCAGGCCCGTGGGATTGGAACCGTTGAGCAACCCCGACCTCATCGTCCTTCCTCAGCCTGTCCCACCAGCCAAGGATGACAGCAACGCTCGTATCCGAAGTCAGCGTATATTCGTCAACCAGACAGACATGGGCAACTGGTACGCCTTGTCTGGGCGCTCCTATCCTCTCATCTTGGATGCTCCCGTAGCCAAGACCTCGTCGCCTGACTGGCTGCAGCTTGCTCAGCCATGGGGCAAGTTAAACGAGACGCAGCGGGTCGGCGCAATGGTTGGAACCCACTACATGGATGGTGTCATCAGGGGCAAGATCTATCAGCCTCCCAGTCTACCCGGACGCGCAGAAGCGTCTGATGCAGTGGTGGACCCTGAAAGTCACCCAGTGCTGCCCACTACTGTGCCGCACGACGATCCTGTCGAGACGCCCACCATCGTCAACAAAGTCAAGTCGATTCCTCATCACGTTTCCAACAGTGTAATCGACTTTTTCTCCAACCCTGTCTTGATTGTGCTCATTGTTTCTGTTCTGTTTTACTATCAGAAGGATCTACGTCGGTGGTACAAAACTAAGACGACAAAATGGTATATGCGAGACGAGGCTGCTTCCGATACAGAGGATATGGGTGCCGATGCCACTCCTGAGCAAACGGTACATGACGAGATCCCACCATCCGCTCCTCAGCGGGCGGCCGCACCTTTAGTGCCAGAAGAGCCTGTTGCCGACAAGAAGCCAGTATCCGAGGATGGGGTTCCCTCTGTTGAGCCTGCCCCTGAGAAAGAGAAGGATGATGACAAGATGCCTATCGCGGATCCATCGGCTCCCGGTGCCGAGACCCAGACTTCTGCCACCCCCCCTGAACCTGGCACCCCTGAGGTCAAGAAGAAGAAGCCCGCTCACCGTGGCCGTCGCGGAGGCACGAAGCACCGCAAGGGGAAGAAGAGAGAAGAAATGTCTCAATCTCGCGATGACGAGCCACGTGCTTCCGTTGAGGAAGCTGTCAATAAGGCAAAGAAGTTGGGTGTACAGGCTACTGGTCTGGAGCCCGATGTCATGACCATGACAAACGACATGCAAACTGTGGGAGAATCGATCATCAAGATGGGCGGCATCGAAGTTGACACCGAGAACCAACTCGGCACAGGCAGCAATGGTACCCTGGTCTTTGCCGGTCGATTCGATGGCCGCGAAGTAGCTGTCAAGCGGATGCTTATCCAGTTCTACGACATTGCCTCCCAGGAGACAAAGTTGCTGCGAGAGAGCGACGACCATCCCAATGGTAAGACAGAAACATGGCTGCTTTCAAGGAAGTATCTAACAATTAATTCTAGTCATTCGATACTACGCTCAACAGCAACGCGATGGGTTCCTGTACATTGCTCTCGAGCGCTGTGCAGCCTCTCTGGCTGATGTCATTGAGAAGCCTCATCACTTCACCCGACTGGCTCAAGCAGGCAAGATGGATTTGCCAGGTGTCTTGTACCAAATCACTAACGGCATCCACCATCTACACAACCTTCGCATTGTCCACCGCGATCTCAAGCCTCAGAACATTTTGGTCAACATGGGCAAGGATGGACGACCGCGCCTTCTTGTATCCGATTTTGGTCTCTGCAAAAAGCTAGAGGGTGGTCAGTCCTCCTTCGGTGCCACTACTGGC